ATGATCATAAGTACATTGTTCCGTCACAAAGTCACAATGCCTTACAATGTTTTCCCCTTTGCTTTTCATGAACACCCGGACGAGTAAAGGTATAATTCTAAACACTAACTGTAGCGTGTCTGTAAATTATGTGGAATTGTTCAATTTGAGAGACCACAAGAGCGGGCGTTAACGGAGAGAAAAGTTATTTTTAATGTTAATTGTAGCAAAGACTTTCAAAAATTATCTCGCTCTAGCAAAAGGCATGATTGGATCTGATTTTAAACAATTGGGAAATGGAATGAATATAGATAGGTGCGTGTGGTGGAAGAGAGCTTGTCGGGGCTCAAAGCAAATCTTTTCATGCATCAATTCATTTATTTATTAACTCTTTAAACTGATCATACAAAGTTTACAGTGGATTAGTCTGTTTCATTAATTTAAAGGAGATGTACGCTTCATAGAAATTCAACCGGAGCAGGGATACAACAAAAACATGCCAAAGTTCAAGAAATATAGGGCAAGTAAATAAGAAATTTGTGAAACGTTGAAATGTAATTTCTTCAATCACAATTATAAGGAAATCTACCAGCTTCTAATCTTGCAGGGGTGGTGAGACAATACAAACGGGTGTCAAATGGGTACCCGGTAGGATGCGGCCGTCATTGTTGGTCAAACATCTTGTGAGCGTCAAGAAACGCCCGGCTGGAATGCTCCCCAGGGAGTGGAGATTGGGCACACAGTGTGTGCGGGCAAGCACTGAATCCAATGACCGGGGTTGTAGTATATTTGTAAAGCGCTTAGGGACATTTGTATTAAGCGCAATATAAAAATTAAATATTATTATTATTAAACTAGGATTCATCAAAAAGGAGTACCCACAAAAGAGTGGATAAAGGTGCCCAATTAATCACCGGCTAGGACAATATCCCTCCCTTTTATTGATGCATTTAAAAATAAATTTGAGTTCTGGTCATGCGACTGTATTGTGAAAGAAACTGTGTGGAATCGATCAGAAAAGTTTGATCATCTAGCATATACAAGTATTGGTGTGTACTGCAAGGTTCCAGAATCATCAGAATGATAAGAAATTTGGCCCAGTCTTGGTAAAATTACAAGCACTGTACACAGAAATATGTATATGGGACCACACAAAAATGTGGCATGAAAATCCGTCCCAACTGTTATGCTGCTACATGGCATATTTCGAATATTAAGGCGTTTGAAGAACCATGCTTTTCAGGGAACATTCTTTATCTGATGTTCTTCCACAGTTGAATAATAAAATAACTTTCACAAATTCTTTTTCACCTCTTCCTAGAACGCAACCTTCTATTTAAATAACTAGATTCTTTCTTCCTCTGAGTACACATTTCTGTTGCTACAAGCCCGTTTTAGATGTAATAAATCAATTCCAATAAATTACTCTGGTGTAAAATAAACTCGAGTGACCATTTCAAAGTACATTGGTATTTACTCTATAAATAGTTGACCCTCAAATGTTCGGCACACTGTATCGATCACTGGGAACAATATACTAAATCAAGCATTGTAAGGTATATATTAATACAATGCCATATAATACCGCCCATGCTCAAACATTCCAGTTATTAAGTATTCTTCGTAACATTTATTCGACAGGTTATATTCTTAGCTTGTACCATTATTCAATAATTTCGTTGGATTATGGTAAATGTTAATTTTTTGTTATTAACAGAACTGAGGAATTTCATTAAAAGTGATTACAGAATGTGTCATGTCCTTAAATTGAAATGAACGAATTACGAGCAAAGGCAGAAAGCAAATCCTATTATTTATGATATTAATGACGATAATCTAGACATGTTCAGACAAGATTTACTTTATTTTTAAATAGCTAAAATATCTTTTTAAAAGGTTGCATAACATTGGATTGAACATGAAGATGGAATATAGAAAGCCCTATAACTTATTTTAAAATTCGTCTCTCAAAAGTAATTATTTTCCTTCTTCTTGAATCTTAGCCCATGAATAATGTTCTTTAAAACGTCATTTGTTCTGTTTCTGGTTCTAAGCACCTCCCTTGTATTCGTATTATAGGAACTTAAGCTTCAAAGATGTGTGATGATTGGTAAATCTTTTGAAATGATTCAAAGATAAACATAATAAATAAATTCTAGGGGGAGGATCATAGGAAGAAATAGTGTCGGAAAATGGAATGAAATATGGAAAAGAATTAGAATGCTGATCCAACTCCCACATTTAATAAAAACATGCCTAGTAATAAATTCACGATTGTATTCGAATTATAGAGTAATTAATTGGGTATTAAGACCAGCTTGGGTGGAGGGGGGGGGGGGGGCAGAGACCAAAGAGATACTGAGATATTTAACCGAGAGAAAATACAAATATGAAATATCATGTGCAAATCTATTTTGTAGTTAAGAGACGCTGTGCTAGGAATTGGGTTATTTGAATCAGGATACAGAATTTTCTGGGGGGAAAATACCAAATCGACAAAACATAAAAATGGCACCGACTGATGCCTACATGTATAAAGACGAAAGTTCTTAATTCTAAAAGAGATGAGATGCCGATTCCCCCCCCCCACCCTTCGGTGTTAAAAAGAGAAAAAGATAATTTTATATGAAAAATACTCTCTTTTTTCTACGTTAAAAAAAAAAAAGTAAAAAGGTTTTATTATTTCAGTAGGAAAATGTTATATTCATGACAATAAGTAAATTGTCCTATTAAAAGGGCAAAAACAAAGGTCTCCGAAAAAGAATCAAACTCTAGATTCCGTTTCAATGTTTGCCTGTTTAATAAGATGCCAGTGTTGGCTTGTATAAACTCGGAAACATAACATATAAAACAAAAAGAACACGAATTGTTTCATTTGGTACCATATAAGAATTTCCTTACATGTATATATCAATAGTATTTTCAAATACTGATGAGAATAATCTTAATGAAATAATGTATGTATATTTTTGTAATTCTCTTCGAATTTGTGATTTTATAAGCGCTAGGGTACGTACTTTTCGATTTTGTAAGTACCTGTAGTTTATGTATTGGAATCTATATCATCTACTCTTTAAATACGCATATTGCAATCGAAGATCTGACTTGTGTCCCACTATATATTTAGCATTTATACAATTTTAATTCCTATATTTTTTCTGTGTGTTTGCGAAACCATCTAGGCCTAGCTGAAAGAGAATAGTTTGAAGAAGAGTTAGTATAATCGAATGCACCTGATGTTAGATAAAGCATTTTTAAGATAGGAGTGGGATAAAAGATTTAATCTTCAAGAATTAAGCAGATCAAACTCCGAAAGTTCAAAGCGAACAGAAAGCTTTAATGCATTACATGTTTGCAATTACTTTTAGATTGAAATTGGAAAGAAAACTTGGCGATGTATTCCCAGGGGTATGTTAAATGAATGATAGATTTATAATAACTCTATCTCACTGGATATTTGACAAGTTCATACATGTACATGTGTCATTTATTCGTGCGTTAATTGAATTGTAATCAAGCTGGCGGCGGATACCTCTGATATTTTTTTGGAAACTAACATTGTTTATGATACTGCTACCTACACTTATTTCTGTATTCTTTTTAGTTATTTAAAATCACATCTTTACACAGAGTAACCTGTTCAGCTAGGAAACAATTACACACAAACTATTTAAATGTAAGACATATATGCATGAACGATTATTATGATAAAAGTAAATGTACGAAACCCATATCTTCATGATATATTATATTGCTATAGCACACTTTTGGAATCGGCTTGGCGCGTGCGACTTCCCATGCTTTCGGGAACGCACACGCTTCTATAGATAAGTTAAGTATATACACAAATAAGTCAATTACAACAGGAATACAAAAAAATATGTCAAATTACTGACATGCCTACCTATCTTGTTGCTAGATGAGAGCAAACTTGATCTCCTTTAAAACAAAATTTAGTGAAATGTATGGCAAATTAAATGAACTACTTCCATTATTGGTGCTAATAACTATGAGAAGGCGTATTTATTTCAATGTCTTCCAAATCAGGGACAAATGTTTGAGCAAGTTCTTTAATAGAATCAATAAAGTATTCGTTGCGATATCCAGCAACAACGGGTGTTTTTTTTTTATATATCTTTACCATTGACATAATTATAAAGAGATATTATTTTATACATGTCCTTGTGTGTAATGCATTTAAGGACACTTGTATTGTTTACTCCACATATTTCTTATGCTACTATGTTCGAAGTGTTTTGTTTTTCTAATTATTTAAACAAAATAGATTGGTAATGCATTACATCATCTGAGCAGCAGCGAAGCTAATTGATTGGCCTGTTTGAGACTATCCTACACTGGGACTGCTGGTATGATCAGACACCTTAACTGGCCATTGTTCGCAATTGCTTAGTTATGTTTTAACAAATAAAACAAATCACCATGTTATGACAAATTTTATATTGTGATTTGATATTTTAATAATTTGATATATCACATCGTGCCCTCTCATGCATATTTCCTTTCTAATGAGCAAACCGCCTTCCTCATCTTTGTCTCAACCCAACATGCAGCTCATCCTTTTGTATTATTTTCTGTCTCTCAGGTCTCTCACTTCTTTTTGTCTCGTGACCGTGTTCTCCTATCTGTGTCATGTTAAGTACTCTCTTGTCTCGTTTTCGTCTATGGGTGCATCCCCCTTTTCTCTATTTCTAGTTCCTTTTTGTAGTTACGAATTTGTTAATTAAATTACTCATTGTTCCTAATTACTATTTGAGGGGTCCACAATTATTGTACAAACATTGCCTTTTAGTGGACCACTGTGTTTCCATTATGTATTCCTTAATTGTTGTAAATGATTATAATTGATTTGTAATGTTTTGTTGGAAACAGAAATAAAATTGAAAGAAACAAAATTGATAAAGTAGAAAGAGATGTGTGTTGTATTCTGCGGGGTGTTTGCTCACCACTTCACAGGGCTTCATGAATACCTTCAAAATATAAACGATTGATAGTTCACTTACCAAAAATTTGGGAAATCGCTTATTTCTGTCAAGGACCTGTTGTTCTGGATAACGTTGGAGTAAGTGGGCAATCTCTTGCTCTGCTGCTGATTGCACTGGATCCTGAGATTGGGTTAATCTATGAATGTTGAGACCAGTAACTATCTGTAGTAGAAACAGCATAGACACTGCAACAAATCCAACCTGTCCATACGACAGCATTGTGTTTTCTTCACCAACTTACAGGCACAGAAGTTGCGAATCTCCAACCCGTGATGCAGTGCAGAGACTTTCCCTGTCTTTACGCACCAGAAAGGGGGAAAGTTCGAGAAAAATTGTTTCTAATACCTTAATGCTTATATACAGTTCGGTATCTATTCAGTAAGAAAAATGTTAGCAAGCCGAAATTCCACTGTAGAGCTACCAGAAGCCACCGATATTATTTAGCTAAACCATCACACCAAATCAAAATGAGTCGTGTCAAAGAGAATGGAAGAAGAGGGAAAAGAGCCCTTTCTCGATCAAGCTTACCAATGTTCTGGGGGAGAATTCAAGAGTTTTGACAAATTGGTGTTGAGCGGTGAGAGAATACGGTGTGGCGGGATGCTGATGTCGAAGGGGTTCTTGAAGTGAGGTGTTGGAATACTTATATGGATATCATCGACGGGGAGGAGCGAACTCAGCAAGATGAACGCTTCACTGGCTAAGTGTTGGTATGACGTCACTGTGATGATCTTGCAATTAACATACATCACCTACTACCGGTGTAAAACGAAGTTTTTCGTGATAACAAGGTTAGATATTGTAGAGATTGATTCCCCTATTTCTTAAAAAGGACGAATAAACACAGAACTGATTGAAACTTGTACGATCTACATAGATGTTCCGACATTGGCTCATCAGACATATTCTTTATATTCCTGGTTTCATTTCGTCGAAAAAGGGAGGGGCTAGGGCTAAGTCGGACTTTGAAGGCTAGGTTTAGGGTTAGAGTAGTGAAAAGTATTAGGTCCATGGTTGAAGTTGAGAGTGCAATAGATGTTTAAAGAAGTTGACTGTGGACTCGAGCGATTGTCGATGGAGCGTACAACCTCCATAAAACCAGTACCACGTGCTATTTTACGTTCTACTTTACGTTGTACAAATAAACACAAAACCAGCTTCTGGAGTGACTTGCAATGAAGGATTAACAATTGTAATAGAAAATTCGCATTTACATTACATTTGCTGCATATATACTGTTGGAATGGTCCTCTATATTTGTACGTATGAAATAACCGATCAAGATACATTATCTTGACAGGAAAACAGTTGCAAATGTTTTGTTATACCATGGCTCCTCGCCAAAAATAACAGTGAACCTCATTGTTAAAGTGGAGATACAATTGCTAATTCTTTATTCAACTTATCTTAAGCTTTTCGTGTATATAGACAGTCTATTTTGGGCAATGGTAAGAGGGTTTAAGTAAAGGATCTATTTAAAACTTTTATTCATGGGTATTTAATGAACGTCTTGTATTAGAGAGAGCCACTCGAGTGCAGAATTCAAGCCAGCAGTAGTTGATAGTTATCGGGTTAGATAATTATTGGTGTAGTTAGTGACAATATTGATTGAGAGGGGAATGTATGTAATTGCCAACCACTATGTCCCCAACACCTTTTTACTTGTTGACAATGCAATTTCAAATTGTTTTCGTCTTGGTCAGACTGAATTGTAAACTTACTCTCCCTTTACACCCTTGTTTGGCATAATTACAACCATCCGTCCTGATCTCCTTTTTGATCAAACAGAATTGTTATAATCTTCTTTTACTGCTCTCTCTTTATTTTTACCCCCACTCTCTCTCTCTCTCTCTCTCTCTCTCTCTCTCTCTCTCTTTTTTTCTCTCTTTTCTCTCTCTCTCTTCTCTCTCTCTCTCTCTCTCTCTCTCTCTCTCTCTCTCTCTCCCCGTCCCTCCCGGTTTCCCCTCTCTCTCTTCTTATCGTGTCATTTTAAGGAGCGACAAACCTTTCGGATTTAGTTTATTTTGCAGATTGATCACATTTTAGTTGGGCGTTACACCTTTGGTATCAACGGCCATGTTCATAGCAGTTAATAATAGTCCTTCAGTTAGTTTCTCAAGAGTCTTTGCAATTGTAATATTTTGCGATCCAAAAAAGACAACTTAATTCTGTTTACTTGAAATCGCCTTCCATGTCAAACCTTTGTTCTATACAATTGCCCTTAGGAGAGAGAGAGAGAGAGAGAGAGAGAGTGTGAAAATTGATTTCCAACGAAATAAAACAATAATGGTAGTGCAAATTTCAAGGGTTATTTTAGAGTTTCTAATGCTTAAGACGGCCATCTTGAAGCTTCTGAATCGCAACAATTTGACAACCCCGACATGGGCCTTATGGCGGGCCCCTGGATCAATGATACGAGCTCACAGTGCGATTTGCGCACACATATTTTGTTTTCGGCACCACCCGCTTTGGAAAATACTGGATCCGCCGCTGGTCATTTTACATAAAGGAAACATTAATTGGGAGTCTATTCGACTCTATACCGCACTGCAATGACCACTCTGTTTACCTGGTAATTTTGAATAATGATTTTTGTATAAGTAATCTTAAGTAAATAAGTAAGCTTTAAAAAAAGACACAACATTTTCCTATTTTTTTCAAACTTTTAGCGACCTGTCTTTTTTTCAATGCTTAGAAACTCAGACACCATTTCCCATATACCATATTTTCATACTTATTGTTTTATGTTCAGTGTTTTGTTTTTCTAGTATCGACATTTCTAAGCTTTATTTCTAAAACATATACATATATATATCAACAACAAACAGGGTACAAAATATAAAATACAAAATGGAAAATCTGTGGATTCTATTGCACAAGTAGGCTTACATTCGCATGCTATATATCAATTCGCTTTCTTGAGAAAGGTTTTGTGAATGTGCAAGGCCCGCGTAAATTTGCCGGTATCGTTTTCACGCTCTTTACTTAATGCTTCTCACACACTTCCTATATAACGGACAATATGATACCAAAATTGTGTTAGACCAGTCCATTAGGAATATAGAAAATTGAAATTTTACACCAGTCTTAGCCCTCTGACACCAAGCGAGTCGACGACGGGCCCTTTTTGTTGGTTGGGTGGGGGGGGGGGGGGTGGGGGTGGGGGGGGGGGGAGGGAAGTAAGACTGGAAAACAAATTCTTCTTTGTTTTCCATTTACATTGCAAGATAATCTGTCAAAGCCTGATTCTACACTGTTGGTCATAATGGTGGAATATTTATTTTTACCCCAGTTTAGGGAAGGATTTTTAAAAATTATTTATTTCTAATAGATCTAAATAATGGCATACATTCTCAGATTTTATTGAATATTAAATTGCGAGTGTTTGTTTTGCGTGACTGCTATATCATATGTGTGCTACTATGCTAATCAGCTAGGGAACCTACGTCCTTAAATTATAATTGACAGTAATGAGGATTAATGCCTCACAAAAGGGCACTAATATAGCTGATCAGCACGATTTTTATCCTGGGGCCTCACAGTAACGAGGCTATTGCTTAGCCCCTGAATCATGACTGTACGCAGTGTTTGCTAGGGTACGCGGCCCCTTCCACAAATCCCCCAAAACGAAGAAAATGCAATAAATTGTCAAAAATTCATTGCATTTTCCCCCGGCCCCCTACAGGAAAAGTTCCTCTGTGTGGCCATGCCTTGAACCATAATGCATGGCCCTACAGAGGAATTTTTCCTGTAGGGGGCCGGGGGAAAATGCAATGAATTTTTGACAATTTATTGCATTTTCTTCGTTTTGGGGGATTTGTGGAAGGGGCCGCGTACCCTAGCAAACACTGCGTACAGTCATGATTCAGGGGCTAAGCAGTGGCCTCGTTACTGTGAGGCCCCAGGATAAAAATCGTATCGATCAGCTATATATTAGTGCCCTTTTGTGAGGCATTAATCCTCATTACTGTCAATTATGACTTAAGGACGTAGGTCCCTTAGCTGATTAGCATAGTAGCACACATATGATTAAGCAGTCACGCAAAACAAACACTCGCAAATTAATATTCAATAAAATCTGAGAATGTATGCCATTATTTAGATCTATTAGAAATAAATAATTTTTAAAAATCCTTCCCTAAACTGGGGTAAAAATAAATATTCCACCATTATGACCAACAGTGTACTTCCCTGTTCTAGTAGAATGTGGGCAATTTCTATTATTCTATTCCATCTCTTCTCATAGCGTTATTTTAAATTGCACTTTTCTCTAAATATTTCATCAAGCTTACTTGCAATTTTCACGTACCCTTTTTTTAAATTTCACAACCGTTGCCCACATAGATATAGATAATAATGAGCAGAAATAATATTCATATATTCATAAAGAATTCAAATTGCCTTTGATTCATACACTTAAGCGTTCTATCGAAAATGAGAATTGAAATCGCTCTAATTTGAAGTTTTGAAGTAGGGTTAACAAAAGTATAGAATGAAATCAAATAAAGTATCTGTGAAACGCATGACTGAATGAACCGATACAAAGAGGGATTTCTTTTATTTATTTCATAAAATGAACGCTCATAAAGACATCGGCATTAAAATAGACGTTATTTAACTTAGCGTTTGTTTTCATTTTTATCTTGATATTAATAATTTTTTGAATCGCCATGCATTTTGGTTGTTAAATTGTATTGAAATATTATAAAGTCTGTAAATCTTTGCATTGCATTTGAATCAGAGACCAATGAGCACAAGACGCAGATGATGATGCTAGAAAGAAAAGAAGACGATTCATTTCAAACATCTCCCTCTCTATAATCAAAATCGAACAATCGAGAATTTTTTTTTTAAAGCTCCCGATCTCAAAGCCCACGTCAAAGTAGATCAAATAAGATGATACGACAGAGCAAGTTCTCCGAGAAACTGTTTCTTTTTTGTCTTCTTCTTTTTTGTTGGTTCGGACAACGTGTTATTTAGGAGGTTGATTTGGAAGGCCGAGTAGATGATGATGCGAAACTCTACCACCTCTTGAATACTAGTTGAGGAGGTGCTTCTTCTTGGGATCACTTCCCCTCTTCCAGCCGAGCGTTGGCTGTCTGAAGATCAGATTGCGAAAGTAGATACTTGCCAAACACTATTTTCTTTATGATCTTAATTGTTTTTTCATGACGTGATCAAGACATCACTCCTAAATTTGGAGACTTTTATCGAAAACCATCAAGATGCTTCTCTCCGTCTCCTTTCTACCTGGCCACCCCCTTTTCTCCTCACTCCCTGTATCGAACATGACAGACTGTATAAACTAAAGATTTAACGATTTTCTTACATGAAGGATGACGAACCAGCAGTTTGTTTTGTGATCAATTAGATATTCAAATTCGAGTTTGTCGGATCAATTCATGATTAATATCAATTTCGAATACCGAATCCATCAGATTCGCAAATACTTTGTCATTAAAAAAAGGAATGAAATAGCTGATAGTGATCAAAGAACGGCAAGGTTTGTTTTTATTTTCTGAATCAGGTAGACAATTCTATTTCAGTTTTGTACAAAAATCCACCGGTTTTGCATGCGGAATGTTGCACGAGGCAATTTTTTTGGTACAGTTTTAGTTTAAATCAGTAATAAGAACAGCTTGTTTTCCTCTTAATTCAGCATAATCCATAAATATTCATCTGGATAAGGCAGGTCTTTTCTGAAGCATAAAAGAATTGACAAAGAGGCTCTGTCATCACCTGTGGAA